CAGGTCCCCATTTGGATAACCTCAGTTTTATAAAAATCTGTGAATGCAATCAAAAAAGTAAAAGTGCCAAAAGTCTTGTATTTGGGTTGGTTACTTGTGGTTAAGGTTAGGGATGGGTAGCGGTTAAGGGTGTCGTGACTGGGATTAGGCTTTTTCCCATAGAAATGAATGGACGGTCCCCATTTAGACAGATAGACTAACTTGTGTGTGTGTGTGTGTGTGTGTGTGTGTGTGTATTAAGGTTGTCACAATACTACAATTTCAAACTCGACACTGATACCCAGGAAAATTCCATTTCCGAAACCACAGGTAATATTTCTGTCTAGATGTTGGTCGACATTTCTCAGGTTCAATCTAGGACTTTAAGAGAAACTTAAATAATTTTGTTATCCTGTTAAATTAACTCTGTATATTAATGTTACACATGGGCAGGACTGATAACATCTTCTAGCTCCCATGTTAGCATTAACCTTTTATTAGCCATAGCCGCTACCTTAGTGATGAGTTAATTGATAGATGTGCCTGTTGGCCGGTTTGGTAATAGCTAAATGGCTAACGGTATCGTGTGCAGTGGCCTGGTAACGCCGATGCCTGTTTAATACTGATGTTTAAGCGGAAGCTTTTCTGACTGTAAAGACCAGGGTGTCTGTCTTTAAGATGCTTCGCTAAGTTCGCATTGTCTGCATATAGGCTCATGGAGGATTTGTGAAGGAATGGGTCATTGTGAAGAGCTCAGTGAATTGCTGTCATAGGAGGCCACCTTTGCAGCTTCTTCCCGGTTAGATATTCCACAGTCATCTGTAAGTGGTATTATTGCAAAGTAAAAGCGTTTAGGAAACAGAAACTCATGCACAAAGTGGCAGATCAGGTAAAGTAACAGAGCGGGTCACCGAGTGCGGAGGCACTCGGTGTGTAAAAGCCGCCAGCGCTCTGTTGACTTAGTAACTGCAGAGTTCCAGACTTCCTCTGGCATTAACCCCAGCAAGAAACCCGTGTGCCAGGAGCTTCATGGAATGGGCTTCCAGGGCCGAGCAGCTGCATGCAAGCCTCACATCACCAAGCGCAGTGCCCAGTGCTGGATGCAGTGGTATGAAGCAGACTGCCACTGGACTCTGGAGCGGTGGAAACATGTTCTGAGGAGTGAAGAATCACGCTTCTCTGTCTGGCAGTCTGATGGACGAGTCTGGGTTTGGCAGATGCCAGGAGAACGTTACCTGCCTGACAGCACTGTGCCAGCTGTAAAGTTTGGTGGAGGGGAGATAATGGTATGGGGGTGTTTTTCAGGGGTTGGGCTGGGCCTAGGGGGGAACCCCTTAATGCTTCAGCATACCAAGTCATTTTGGACAATTCTATGCTTCCAACTTTGTGGGAACAGTTTGGGGAAGGTGGCCCTTTCTGTTCCTGTGTGTGTGTGTGTGTGTGTGTGTGTGTGTGTGTGTGTGTGTGTGTGTGTGTGTGTGTGTGTGTGTGTGTGTGTGTGTGTGTGTGTGTGTGTACAGTCATGTGAATAAAAAAAGTACACCTTTCAATTAAATGGTTTTGCGTATTGGGACACCATAAAAAAATCAGGTACTCAGCAGGTCTTAAAATTAGGTAAATACAACACGACATATTACAGTGTCATTATTTATTTTACAAAAATCAAGTCAGATACAGATGGGACATTTTGCACATTTACTGCTTCCATAGGAATTAAGAGGGTAAGTAGCAGCCATGTGCTGATAATCAAATGCACATGATTAATTTATCAACAAGTGTGACCTCTGCTATAAAAGCAGAGGTGTGTTAACTCAGTGGCAGAGAGGCAAGGCATCAGCAATGATCTTAGAGAAGCAAACGCTGCTGCCAGTCGATGTGGGGTGGGTTACAAGGCCGTTTCCAAACAATTTAAAGTCCATCATTCCACAGTGAGTAAGATTATTCACAAGTGGAAAACATTCAAGACAGTTGCCAATCTTCCCAGTGTTCGAAGACCCAGCAAATGCATCCCAAGGTCAGACCGTGCAGAGCTCAGAGAAACTAAAAAAGCTCTGACTCTACAGCCCTTAGCATGTTAAGTGTTAAAGTTCATGACAGTACATTTAGAAGACTGAAGAAGTATGGCTTGTTTTGAAGGGTTGCCAGGAGAAAGCATCTACTCTATAAAAACATGGCAGCGTGGTTTAGGCCTGCAAAGTGGGATCCCACTAGACTTCTGGGAACAATATGCTTTGGACAGACAAGACCAAAGTGGAGATGTTTAGCCAAAAGCCACATATTAGCACAAACACCTCATACCAACTGTCAGGCACAGTGGTGATGATTTGGGTTTGTTTTGCAGCCATAGGCCCTGGGCACCTTAGTCATTGAGTCGACCATGAACTCTTCTGTATACCAGTATATACTCAGGGATGAGAGCCTGAGTGGCAGGTGAAATCCCAGCACCACACTAGTCCAAAAGGACCAGTGTGAGGTTTTTCCCCCAGTGGCTGGGGTACCAATCCTGTTGCCAACCCCCAAGTCATTCCCTGTAATCTGGAGGACCTTCTTATAGGGCTGGATGTAGATTAACATCATACCCAGGATGAAGCCATTGCAGGTTACAGACCTTGCTCAAGGGCCCGATGGCGTAGGATCACTCCTGGCATTCATAGGATTTGAACCCACGACCTTCTAGTTGCTGACACAGATCCCTGGCCTCAGAGCCACCACTCCTTTTGGCTGGAACATGCTCATGCAACAGGACAATGAACCCGAGCACAACAGCAAGTATACAGCAGAATGGCTGAAAAAGAAAAGAATCAAGGTGTTATATCGGCCCAGTCAAAGTCCAGACCGCAGTCTGACTGAAATGGTGTGGTGTCACCTTGAGAGAGATGTGCACAAACGAATGGCATAGATGTGCACAAACGAATGGCATGAAAGCAGTGCTATAAAAAAGAGTGCGGCAGGATTCCTCCACAGGGATGTGAGAGACTTATAAAATCATACAGAAAATTAGGGTTGCACTGAGGCCTTTTTTTGTTTACTTGCCGATACTGAGTCCTGATATGAGTACTCAAGGCAGTATTTATACCTTATTTATTGAAAATACCAATGACCTAACCTGCCATAACCAGACCAATACTCAAATGAGAATTTATCTGGACCTCATCAGTTGATTTACAATGTTCACAAGGCAGTACCAATGGGTTAATGAAACATATGAGTTGGTACGTTAAACTGTTATACCAAGCTAACAAATACCATTACAGTGCAATGAACTGGGTTTTTTTTTTTTTAACATTTAAAAAAAAAAAAAATAATTCCAGATGTGCTTAACATGTTACTTATTTAGATTGTATCAAATAAAATGCATAAGATGAGACCATTTCCAACCAAATATAAACAATTTTATAATGCCTCAGGTCTAACGCATATCGTCTACTGCACCTGCTGTAGCTTGGCTGCTGTGCGAGCACTGGAACGGCTTCCTTTGCAGTGTGACTCCATCTATCCACTGTGCGGTTAAACTGCAGAGAGACAGCGGGCGCACGCTGTCCACTCTCAGTCTGTATATCACGTGTAAAGCTGGAGGCTGAAACATCATGCATCATGCCACTAATGTGCTTTTTCACGACATCGAACTCCTTTGGTAAAATAGCATCATTTATATATTGGCTGTGTGACCCATATCATTTTCAGTATTGTTTTTGGTTTTTGGCTCACACAGGGTTTGAGTTTCTGCGACCTTTCAGCAACATTCCAGTTTACAACTCGCAAATGGCCGAAACCGTAAAGTTACTGTTCTTGCAAAATATTTTAATCTGAACATTAGCTTTAATGACCCAGCTCTCATCATCAGGTTTGGCTCTCCCTCTCTGCCAGCCTCCATCTGTTTCTTATGTTGTTTTTTTTAATAATCTCCGGTAATACGCTTCTTTTTTCTCGTCAGTGCGCGCATATGTACGTAATCCCGGGTGCAAATATAAAATCACACACTGTCAATAAAGGGTCGCATATGCGAGTATTTCGGTGGCAGTGTGGAGCCCCTGCACATTATCGACGATTAAGTTATTGCTGCTGAAGGTGGCTCTACAATCTATTTGGTTGTACGTAGCTTTTCACACCCAGCCTTCTCCAATTCTGGCTTCATTTTTGTTAAATGAGTAATGACACAGTGAAATCTGTTGTGCTGTTTTACATCTGAAGTTAAATTTAAATAATTTTAGGACCTGGTAAGGACCAGATTATAATTTTTTTATGTCCTGATACTGCAGTTTCTTTTTCACACGACAGCATATATCTATGCATGCACCTAGCCACCTCACACAGACTGCCTGCCGCTCCCCCCTGCCCCAATACCGCCTGCCGCTTCCTGCTGCTCCCTGCCACCCCGTTCCCACCTGTCGCTCCCTGCCGCTCCCACTGCCCCGTTACTGTCCTCTTGCTCGCCAGCTGGGGTTACAGCTGCTCTTTAGATTCTGACTTAATTTAGCTCAGCACATTTTGGCAGGAAGGCTTGTCACAAATAAGCCCCCACTTCCTGTGTTCTCATCTGTTAATGTTTGATGGAACTTGAATAGGTTTAACAGAGCATGAATTCCAGTAGTTACAGGGGTCTGAACATACTCCTGCACGTTAATGTGTTGTATTGATCCCTTGACTAGTCAGTGTTCAACCTGAACTGAGTTCACATGAGTACTGTACTGAGTTCACATGAGTACTGTACTGAGTTCACATGAGTACTGACTACGGCATGTTCTGTTAGTAGCTCAGCACTGACAGAGAGGGTGTTTATCATTAGAGTAGTGTTGCTGGGTGTTTATCATTAGAGTAGTGTTGCTGGGTGTTGAGGTGTTTATCATTAGAGTAGTGTTGCTGGGTGTTGGGGTGTTTATCATTAGAGTAGTGTTGCTGGGTGTTGGGGTGTTTATCATTAGAGTAGTGTTGCTGGGTGTTTATCATTAGAGTAGTGTTGCTGGGTGTTGGTCCGATTCAGGAACGCCTTGGTGAACGCTTTGCTCCCTCCTCCTCTGCAGATCTGTCCACGGCCAACCGCAAGTTTGCAGAGTCACTCAACGACTTCAAGTTCCAGTGCATTGGCGATGCCGTCACGGACGACGAGATCTGCATCGGTGAGGCTGAGCTCTTGAGGGGGTGTCCGGGGGGGTGGGGGTGGTGATTGGCTGGGTCCCGCAGCATGCACCTCCTTGCTGACTGCTCCATCTCTCTGACTCCCCACAGCAAGGTCCCTGCAGGAGTTTGCCGGGGTCCTGAAGAGCCTGGAGGATGAGCGGGCGAGAATGGTGAGCATGGGCATTAGAGTGGGTGTGAGGGCGGGGCTAGCTGGCATGAGTGAGGGCGGGGCTAGCTGGTGGGTGTGAGGGCGGGGCTAGCTGGCATGAGTGAGGGCGGGGCTAGCTGGTGGGTGTGAGGGCGGGGCTAGCTGGCGTGAGTGAGGGCGGGGCTAGCTGGCATGAGTGAGGGTGGGGCTAGCTGGCGGGCGTGAGGGCGGGGCTGGAGGCAGGGAGGGGTGGCGGTCACCCCGCAGCGTGTATTCAGTCTCAGTCTGATGGCGTCTTTCTGCATCCCTGTAGATCGAAAATGCCAGTGATGTGCTGATCACCCCCCTGGAGCGCTTCCGGAAGGAGCAGATCAGCGCCGCCAAGGTGAGTCCTCTTCCCCCAGGTGTGGCTGTTTAGGAGAGGGGGGGGGGGGTTTCTGCTCCTGTGGAGCCCAGGGTGATGATGTCAGAGGTGTCTGGGGGCCTCAATGACACTACATGGTCCTGCAGACCTGAAAACTCCAGGCTCTCAACTGGTATAACCCTGGTGGCAGTGAGAAGTGTGGCAGGCGGCTGGGGGGGAGCAAAAATGTGAACCGTCTATGGGTCTGAGGACTGGGTTGGGAAGCACTGCTATATTTGGTTGGAAATGGTCTGATCTTATGCATTTTATTTGATACAATCTAAATAAGTAACATGTTAAGCACATCTGGAATTTTTTTTTTTTTTTTTTATCCACATTTTTTCTTAGTTCATTAAATCCCCAACAACATTTTAAATAATTTTAATCCAATTTATTTCCCAAAATAGTGCAGTTATAGTAAATAGCGAAGTGAGAGAAGAGGAGCACATTCATGGACTAATAAAAAAATCACGATAAGGGATAAACTAGAGAAAAACCTCACAGTATGTTTTTTTTTGCCCACACACACTGTAACCCAATGAAAATGGTCCCGCGACCCTTGGAGTGGAGAAACTGTGTTTTAAATTGTTTGAATAATAGTGGTTTTTAAATAATCCACTATGACTCTTTCCCTTCTAAACAGTACAGACACTAAGCAGTGGTATCATCTGGCATCTTTATTTGGGACACAGTCCTCACCTGATGTGTGCCGCTGTCATTCAGCCAGCTGCTCACTAAGGCTAATGAACTGCGCCATAATAAAAGCCTGAGTATCCATCTTGCCCACGGGACTTTGAAGGGCCTCCCAGTGCAGGAGGGCATTGTGTTACACTGCCACCTGGTGGCAGACTCGGGAAGTGACTCTGGTCAGTTCATCTGACTCCAGAATGTGTCTCTGTCACTCTCTCTCTCTCTCTCTCTCTCTCTCTCTCTCACACACACACACACCCACTCACACACACACACACGCAGCTGAGATGGATGACCCGTGGATAGTCGTATGAGCCAACTGGCCCTGACCTGGCAGAGTATGGACCACTCTGTGTGTGTGTGTGTGTGTGTGTGTGTGTGTGTGTGTCCGCACGCTTGCGTTCCTACTGATGCTCTTCCCCCTGTGCAGGAGGCCAAAAAGAAGTATGAGAAGGAGACTGAGAAGTACTGCGGCGTGCTGGAGAAACACCTGAACCTGTCGGCTCGGAAGAAAGAGGCCCAGCTTCTGGAGGTGAGCGTGGCCGTCACGTCAGAGGGCGGGGCTCCCGCGTGGGGGCCCATTCTCCAGCCTCACTTCCGTGACGCCCCCCACAGGCCGACAGTCAGGTGGACCACGTGAGGCAGCACTTCTACGAGGTCTCCCTGGAGTACGTCTTCAAGGTCCAGGAGGTGCAGGAGCGCAAGATGTTCGAGTTTGTGGAGCCGGTAGGGTCCTCTCCACCGCTGGTCTCTCGTCAGCATCTCCAGCCAATCAGTGGCCTTCTTTCATCCCCCTGCCCTCTTGTGATTTTGTTACAGCTGTTGGCTTTTCTGCAAGGTCTGTTTACCTATTACCATCACGGGTATGAGCTGGCGAAGGACTTCAATGACTTCAAGACTGACCTCACCATCAGTATCCAAAATGTAAGCGTGCTGAGCATGGTAACTCCTGTCCTGCGATTGGCTGATTTCAGTACCATGCCGAGCATGGTAACTCCTGTCCTGTGATTGGCTGATTTCAGTACCATGCACAGCTTCACAAAGAGATGTATTTTTACGGAGTCTCTTCCTGTGGGGCTCAGACGAGGAACAGGTTTGAGGGCACGCGGTCCGAGGTGGAGAGCCTGATGAGGAAGATGAAGGAGAATCCGCACGAGCACAAGAGCGTCAGTCCGCACACCATGCAGGGCTATTTGTTCATACTGGAGAAACGTGAGTGACCCGTGGACCTGGCATGACGTGACATTGATCTGCTCAGCCCATAATTGTAGGTCAAGGCAGCCCCCCCAAAGCAGCTGGGGGGGCAGGTTACAGGCTTCTCCAGCGTAACCCCTGATGATGTAAGCGCCGGGGATGTCATGTGACAGACATGATCCCACAACTCGTCCCCTGCTTCCTGCTCGGCCATTTCCCGGGGGCTATTTTGCTCTGAATTATGCCCCTCATTCCGGGTCTGGTTCTGTTTTTGTTTTGTGCCCTCAGGTTCCTTCGTGTCCACGTGGGCCAAGTACTACTGTAGCTACCACCGCGAATCCAAACGCTTCACCATGGTGATGTTCGACCAGAAGTCCGGGGGCAAAGTGGTGAGCAGCGCCCGCCTTGGCGCGAGCGACTCTGAGTGAGCCTGGCACCTCTAACCCTCTCCTTCACGGTTAGGCGGGGGCACGCTGCCCCCATGCAGTTCCTGACATGGACTGCAGGGGGACACGTCCCTGCCTGACAGGGGTCGCTCTTGGTCTCTGAACCATTGTGTCATGTTTTTTTAATGTTCACTTAATGGCAAATTTAAAGTGAAATTCAGTGAAATGTTTCTGCCCTTTAAAGAAGGGAAAATAGCGGAGCTCCTCTGGCGTGGTGACCTGCACTGGTCAGAGAAGGTACCCGTCTCTCCCTGGAAGCACGTGGCCTGCCTGAGAAGCGATGTCACTACACACACCTACACACACACACCCTCATATGCACTGACACGTGCACCCACACAGACAGGCACAAGCACACACACACACACACACGTGTACAGACACAGCCAGCTGCTGTGCTTTAGGGTCCGAGCACAGAGCGAGACCTCAACCCCCCCCAGGCTTTGTGGCTTTGTTACGAGCCTCATCTTTAACCCCCACCCGCCTGCAGGGGGCTCCAGTCTGCCAGCAGGCCACACCCTCACTGGGATGGTCCTCTTCCTGTTCCCATCTCCTTTTCCTCGTCTGCGCCGCTGTCATGTGTGTCGTGATCTGCTTCACTTCAGTCAGTGTTTCTCTAAAGTGGCGAGTCTATTTTGCCAGATGCCGCTTCTGACAGCCATTCAACCAGCCAATCAGGTAGCGCTTTCCTCATGAATATTCATGAGGTTTCCCAGCCAGCCGGCCAGAGGTTGTTCAACATGAAGTAGGAGGATGAATGCTAGTGTTTTCCTCCTGCTTACAGGCACTGTATGTGAATGTAGACAAGAAATAACTATGATAAATGTACTTTTGCTGGATGAATGTACTTTTAAGAATTAAAGGAACTGTCTTTGATCCATGTTATTCATAATTGAACTTTACTGAATTAACATTGTCTGTAGAGTACAGCACAAAGCAGAAAAACAACCAAAAAAGAAACAACTTAGCTATGTATTAGCGAGTCAGCAGGACACTCTGCTTCTGAAAGGCTTCTGCAGGGGCTGAGGACGTACAGTGGATGGAGCAGAACCACGTCGCAGCCGGAACACGGCGCTACTGCCCTCGGTGGGATGCTGGTGTTAAAGGTGCACAGCTGGCTTCTCGGGATACCAAACGGTTTTTCTGTCTTCTCTTCAGGGCGAAGAAGAGTCCTTTACACTGAAGTCCTGCACTCGGAGGAAGACTGAGTCCATCGAGAAGAGGTTCTGTTTCGATGTGGAGGCAACGGACCGGTGAGCAGATATGCTGGACGCCCTCAGGCCAGTGTGAATGAACCTGAAGTGGCCGGCAGACGGGGCACTCGAGTCCGCCTGACAGCGAGGGGGCTGGACGCCCTCAGGCCAGTGTGAATGAACCTGAAGTGGCCGGCAGACGGGGCACTCGAGTCCGCCTGACAGCGAGGGGGCTGGACGCCCTCAGGCCAGTGTGAATGAACCTGAAGTGGCCGGCAGACGGGACCCTCGAGTCCGCCTGACAGCGAGGGGGCTGGATGCCCTCAGGCCAGTGTGAATGAACCTCAGCTTTTACCTTTGCATACACAGATCCTAGACTGACACTAGTTCAATACATACTGAGGTATTGGGATCGGGTATCATGACAATGGGGCCAGTCTATTCAGTTTTTTGTTACTGTATGTTTATGTCCGCTCTGTCTGTTAGATGGGGAAGTTTTGCTAGAAGGAAGCTACAATGTCAGCACTTTGGAGGTATTTCATGCCTGCAGTCTACGCCAACCAGTTATGACGGTATTTAAAAAAGCAGCACTATTCCGGTATTTTGAAATACTCCAAGATACAGTTTGTCTGTAACGAAATAGTGCAGTTTGCCGTTACCGTTACACTGCCCGAGCATAAATAGTAGTTCTGCTAATAAATTCTTTGGCTCGTAAAAGTGAAAATTTATGTCTTGTAGTACAATCGCGTCCAGGCTGATTTCCACGTCTGTGTAGATCACGCCGTAGTTACGGTGTAGCCTGAATGCGAGGTTACTGTGATATAGGCGGGTTTAATGCACCCCAAGCCACACATTATATACTGCAGTGATTTGTAGGTAAGGCGGTATCTATTGACGTTGTTCCAGGACTTAAATGTACCAGATGGAAACACAATGGTTAATATTTTCTGCCAAGTATATTAAAATATGGCAAAGCAGCTGACTACCTGTAGGGATCCTATGCAGGAGCAACCGGCGCAGATTTGGGGGGTGACTCAGCTCTGCCGTGGGGTGATGTACTTCTGGTGTCCCCCTGCATCTGCTACGGGCGTCCGCCCCCCTCTTACATAACCTGCAGCTTTCAGCACCTGATTAGTGGATGGAAATAATGGCAGTTCAGTTCATTTTAGTTGACAATAATTTGACACACAGTGTTTTGTGAAAGGTTAGGGATTTTTGATAGCATTTGTGAAGTATGCCTATTTGCACAAATGATTTATTCACAACCAAATGACCATTACAGTCAAGCTTGATGTTGCCTTGCACATAAAAGAATGATCCCAGTCTCTTCCACACTGAGGCATACAGCTTATGAAATACTGGTATCGGTTCGGTACTCGGTATCGGCTGATACCCAAAGCCCGGGTTATGGGTATCGGGACTGATGATGTGCCCTCTGTGTTTTGGCCCAAACGCGACACTGTCACCCCTCCGTAGCTTCTGCTCATTTTCCTCCCTAGTTTCCCTTCCTTACAGTTCTTTCTCTTCTCCTTTCTCCTTGTGAGATCTCCTCACCGCAGTGAGGTAAAGCCTAGAGAAGCAGTGGCGCCCCCTGTCAGTGGCCTGACTAACCTGCGTTTTTGGCCCGTATGGAGGGTGAAGGTCGTTCGGCATGGGGGTGGGGGGCGTTGCGATGGCAGAACCTGAACGGCTTGGTGCCGAGTTGGGGGCTCTGGGCCGGACGGCGCGGTTCGGCTTGGTGCCGAGTTGGGGGTCTGGGCCGGACCGCGCGGTTCGGCTTGGTGGGTACCTGGGTTTGGCTATCAGAAACTGCCCGNGACCGCGCGGTTCGGCTTGGTGGGTACCTGGGTTTGGCTATCAGAAACTGCCCGCCACCTCCTCCGGTTGCCGCGGGATACCGATAGCGGCATGCCTAGTGATTCTGCTGCTGTGACACCGCATGGCCAGTTCTGCGTGCCGCCGATGACGTCGATGTGCCTGCAGTGCTGAGAGCAGCCTATGGGGGGCGGCGTGTGTCATAGCTGCTGCCGTAGGAGGGGGGGCTCGGTGGTCTATAAACTGCCCCCCTGGTTTTTTCAGGGCCGCGTGGCCGTGTTCGGCGTGTCAGGTGGTAACCATGGCGACATGCACAGCTCTGATGGCAGCGTTGGTTCTCGTCGATGACAGGAGTGGGGTGACGACGATGCAGGCCCTGTCGGAGGAGGATCGGCGCCTCTGGATGGAGGCCATGGACGGGAGGGAGCCGGTAAGCCGCCGCCCTGAGGATACGGGCCGCAGAGACGGAGCCCCCAGGGCGGAGTCCTGGGTGGGATGTCCTGCTCTCGCACACAGGCTGATCCCAAGTGTGTCTGCTTTGATTGACAGGTGTATAACCTGAACAAGGACAGCCAGAGTGAAGGGGGTAAGCACTCGGGCTCCAGGCCGCCGGGATGGGGAGGGGGTGTGTATCATTACCGCTGTGCGAATCCCCAGGGCAGGTGGGGAGACGGAAAGCGAACGCTGATCATCGTGTCACTACACGGCTCTCGAGTTTCAGGCTCTGGTCTCGCATCAGAATTAGTCTTTCCTGAGAATCTCTGCCTAAGAGCGGAAGTGTGACTGAGTTCCTGAGGCCGCTGGTCTCCCTCAGAGACCCAGTGCTTCATGTTACTGTCTCTCTGTCCCGCTGTCTGTCCCCCTCAGAGACCCAGTGCTTCATGTTACTGTCTCTCTGTCCCGCTGTCTGTCCCCAATCAGTGCGTGACTCAGGTCTCACTTTTTCAGTTGCGCAGCTGGACAGTATTGGCTTTAATGTCATCAGGAAGTTCATCCACGCCGTGGAGACCAGAGGTGAGTCTCCCTGTCCCCAGACCATGTCCCTGTCACACCAACTACGTCCTACATGTCCCTGTCACACCGACCGCGCCCTGCCTGTCCCTGTCACACCAACTGCGCCCTGCCAGTCCCTGTCACACCGACCGTGCCCTGCCAGTCCCTGTCACACCGGCCGCGCCCTGCCTGTCCCTGTCACACCGGCCGCGCCCTGCCTGTCCCTGTCACACCGCCTGCCCCCTGCCTGTCCCTGTCACACCGACCGCGCCCTGCCTGTCCCTGTCACATTGACCGCGCCCTGCCTGTCACTGCCTCACACCCACGTTGCTTGACTGTATACAGCCTGTAGCAAACCGCATAGCAGTTTTAACTCTTAATTACATATTAATTGCAAATACATTTAGATGTGATTGAAATCCGAAGTCTGTCCTGCCGTAGGGCTGTGAGCGTGAAGCCCCTTTACTGGGCTCTCTCTCCTGTGCCGCCATGCTGTCTCTCACCTGACATGCTGCTCGCCGCAGGCATCGAGGAACAAGGCCTCTACCGGATCGTGGGAGTCAGCTCCAGAGTGCAGAAGCTGCTGAGTCTGTCCATGGGTAATGATGCACCTTCCAGGGGGAGCAGCAGGGGTTAATGGCTGGCCACAAGAGCCCTGCCCCCACGGCACCCCCTACTGGAGGCTTGTCTGCCGGCACAGCCATCTATTGGTCTGCAGGGGCTTAACCACAGAGTAGGCCTCTGCTTTCGTGGGGGATTAAAGTTAGGGAGCTGGGAGGACTTGGTGGTCAACTGTTACCTGCGCTGACCACATGCTGCGGGTGGGAGTCGGGTCCAGTCCCCAGAGGGTCGCGCTGGTAGAGGGGCCGCATGGTAGAGCTGTGCCGGGAACAGCACGAGCTCAAAATCATGATAAGAGTGACAGTACTGAGAATGATGATGATGACAATAGTATTTGCCTCTGTGTGGCCCACAGTGCCGCCCCCCCCCCACCTGCCCCCGCAGCACCAGCTGCACAGCCTGATTTTTATATGATAACAGCAGCTGTGTAGACATCCTCCTCTCTCCCGGCCTGTTTCCTTCCTGTTAGCTGAGAGCTGAGCCTCTGAGGCCGGCCTGCCCCCCCGCCCCCACTGTCCCACACACATGCTCTACCTGTCCCTCGCTGGGGGGCCAGGGGGGTGATGGGGGTTTGTGGCGGGCTGCTGATGTTGCCATCTCTGTTCCGCAGACCCCAAAACCAGTGCGGACGTGGAACTGGGCAACTCGTCAGAGTGGGAGATAAAGACCATCACCAGTGCGCTGAAACACTACCTGAGGTGAGTGTCCCAGAGGGGCCTGCGGCTCTATGCCGTCACTGTCAGGGGGTTGGGGGGGGGTCCCTACACAGCTGTCCTTTGATGGGGGAGCAGAGCCTCAGCAAAGCGGTGATGTCATTCTCGTCTTCTTCCCAGAATGCTCCCTGCTCCCCTAATGACGTACCAGTTCCAGAGGACATTCATCAAGGCAGCAAGTGAGTCTCTCTCTCTCTCTCTCTCTCTCTCTCTCTATCCATCTCTGTCTCTCGCTCTCTCTATCTGTCTCCCTCGCTCTCTCTATCTGACTCTGTTGTGTGAACTTGGCGATGATCAAAGCCTGGTGTTGAAAGTGTGACGTGCATGGTGTAGTTTGTGGACCGAAATTTTGTTTTATTTCTGCCTCTCTCTCTCTCTCTCTCTCTCTCTCTCTCTGCTAACCATCCCCCATGTGTGTGCTGGGGGCTAGGCCTGGCCTTGGCTGGTCTCCGAGGAAATGCTTTTGCTAATGGGGGTGTCATTATCGCTCTGGTCTAAAGCTTTTCGCTCATTTTGGGAGAAGCTCAGCTGTTAATTATGACCCCCCCCCCCCACCACCCCCACCCACTACCTGGGTGTCACAGGGATGTGGGAGGGACCCCAGGGCCAGCCTTTGGGAATGGCGTGGGATGAATCTGATATCGGCGGACGTAAACCGCTGTGAGGGCTGGACTGCATCACGGAGCAGTACCCCCCACACACCACTAGGTGGCGCCAGATGAGCACGTGTTTGGGCTTCTGTGCAGCCATATGGCCGAACAGCACGAGTTCGACACGCTTCTGCTACACTGGCAGCAGTTTGCTTTCTAGCTTGGTCATTTCGCCATTAATTCTGTGGGCTGTGTGCAGAGCACGGCTTCCGTGTGTGGAGACGACCAGCAATCCTGAACTGGGTTTATCTGTCCCGGCTGCAGGGTAGCTGAGCAGGCCCATTCGCTCCCTCCCCTTGGCTTTTGGGAACGGAGAAGAATGCGTTGTCTTTTTTTCTGTCCCCTCCTCAGAACTGGACAACCCGGAAACCCGGATCGCCGAGATCCACAGCCTCATCCACCACCTTCCAGAGAAGAACAGGCAGATGCTAGACCTGCTCATGATGCACTTGGCAAAGTAGGTCTTCCTGAGTGCCCCTGAGTGCCCCCGCTCCTCCTGTCCTCCTGGCTGCCCATGCCTCCGTCGGCGTTCTCTGCACCTCCTGCAGGTTCTCCTCAGTGTCCCTGTGATGTGAGCTGCATTCACAGTAAGCATTTTGGCTGGGTTTTGGCGCCGGGTGGGACCTTGAGGAACGCCGCCCTCCTTGGCGCCCAGATGCGCTTCCTGTCTGCGGGCCGTGCAGCTGTTCACAGCCCTGGCTAGCTGACACCCTGGAGACGGCTCACTGGGTCCCAAGGGGGCTTCTGGCCTGGGGACTGGAGCATGCCTGCGCTGGCCCCCCCTTCCAGGAACCGCCTGGATTCGTTTGGGTGCCTTAGAGCAGAATTTCTCAAGCTGGTCCTCGAGGACCCCCCCAGACAGCTGGAAGGGAGCAGGTGGGGGCTGTGGGTCCCAAGGACCGACTTCAGAAAGTCTGCCTTAGATGATGTCATGGCTTTAATTGAGCAGGGTGAGTTCAGGAGGTGATGGATGTGATTCACAGAGGCGCTCTGGTGTAAGCAGTGTACGGTGGGCGTGCCACTACGTGCCAGGATGCCCAGGGCTCGGCAGCGTGCTCCCACGAGATCGATTTCACATCATAGTTTGGCCACAGAGCCACAGAGCCACATCTCTTGGATTTGGAAAGGCCAGTCCTGAGATGTTTCACATTATATCTGTGACGGTTGTTAATTTCTGAGCCTGATCGCAGCTTTCGGCCAGCCCTCAAATTGGTCTCGTGTTGGACCCGACCCCCCCCCCCCCGCCCCCAGTGCTAAGCGTCAGGAGCACCCTGACCTGGCGTTCTCTCTTGCGCCTGCCTCAGTGTAGCCAGGCACCACCAGCAGAACCTCATGACGGTGGCCAACTTGGGCGTGGTGTTTGGGCCGACCCTTCTACGGCCCCAGGAGGAGACCGTGGCAGCGATCATGGACATCAAGTTCCAGAACATAGTCGTGGAGATCCTCATTGAGAACTACGAGAAGGTGAGCGGCAGCTGTGGTCCAGCTCGCTTTTGTTTTGGGTTATGGATTTAGCCAAAATCAGGTAACCTTCTAAGTTACGGTCAAAGTCTCATCTCAGAGGGAAAAGGGTAAATATCTCTCTATCAGTCCACCTCCCACCACAAACAAAAAAAATTCTTACTCGACCTTTATTCCTGTGGACACTGGATTTGAGTCTTGGCTTGTCTGTGTGTCACTTTATATGTGCCGCTAAAAGGTAAAGCTATATACCAGGTTTCCGAAATGGATTTCCATTACTGATTAATTTTAAGGATGTTAATGCCACTGCCACCCCCCAAGCACCCCCCCCCATCAAATCTCTGATGACCCTCATTTCCTGATGCATTAATAAATACCTGAATCCATCCATCCATCACCACCCGCTTGGCCGGGGTTCGGGTCACGGGGGTAGCAGCTTCAGGAGAGATACCCAGACCTCCCTCTCCCCAGCCACCTCTAGCAGCTCCTCGGAGGGGGGGTGCCAAGGCATTCCCAGGCCAACCTAAATAATTCCTTAATTGCTCATTATCCCCTGAAGAGCGGCGCTCATGAGTCAGAACACCGAGAGTCTTTTTATGCTGTCACGGGACATGCAGCAAAGCCTTCCTCGTATGTCTGTAGCCACCGGTCGCCACCCCCCCTCCCGTCTGAGACGGTCTGTCTGGATGATTCCGGGACCCCAGCCCCCCCCTTTGCTGGGATCCTCACCTGACTGACAGCAGTTCATCTCTCTCCCCTCTTCTGAAATAAGCACATCTATTTTCCCCCTTTTCTCTTTCTCTCTCTCCTTCCCCCCCCCTTTCCCCCCACCCCCCAGATTTTTAAGGGCCTTCCCCCGCTGGACGGTGGCCAGCCGGATCCAGTGGGCAACACCACGAGGCCCCACATGGACAGCCGAGCCCCGTCGTGCAGTGAGCGCCCCCTCACCTTCTTCCACACCCCCCCACTTGCGGAGCCAGGTAGTATCACGCATGCTGCATCTCCTGCGTCTGCGTGTCCTGTGTCTGCGTGTCCTGTGTCTGCGTGTCCTGTGTCTGTGTCGCCTGCGTCTGCGTGTCCTGTGTCTGCATTCACTGTGTGTGGCTCCCCTGCGTGTGCGTACCCCGTGTCTGTGTCGCCTGCGTCTGCGTGTCCTGTGTCTGCATTCACTGTGTCAGTGTGCCCCTGTGTGCATCTCCTGCATGTATGT